GAGCGGCCGGCCCGGGCGCGGGGGAGCCCCGGGCCGCTCGGCGGGGAACGGGGCGCCCCTCGGGCCGCGCTCGGCAGCCCGGCCTCGTCGCGCTGCCCCCCGGCACTCGGGGGCCTCCCGGTGCCCCCGAGCGCGGTGAGTTGTGCGCGTGTCCCGCACGGTCCCTCCACGTCGCCCGCCCGGTACGAGCGCAGCCGCCGTTGCCCCGGGTCTGGCCGCTCCAGCCGCGGGGCCGGCCGCTCCTGCAGAGGCACCTCCGGAGCAGCGGAGCTCGGCCCGCGGGAAGCGGGGGCCCTTGGAAGCCTTGGGCTTCCTCCGTCTCGAGGAACCATCCTGGGTTGCTCCCCAAAATCTGCTGCCTTAACACTACCACTCTTAAGGAATTGCGGTGGCATGGCCTGAAGAGCCAGGATGTGGCTCTGCTTTGCCGAGACTCTGAATTCCTTCTTTGCTTCCAGGATCGCTCATGTTTGTGTGGGTGTTCGCTGCTGCCTGGACAACTCCTGATTCACCTCCGGAGCTGAGGGTAGGTTTCTGAAAGGAGCTGGGAAATAGCAAATTGTCCGCGGGTAATTGTGAGTGCTTTCAGGTTTCCAGACGAGGAGCCGATGCGTTTGAACAAGGAGGTGGTGAGGCTTGGCTGCCGCGCGCCTGTTTGTGCCGTGTCCTGTTTTATTTCGATCTTGTGTGGTTGTCATTAACTTCTGAGGGGTGTTTTAGGGCAAAGTAGCAGGACTGGCTGTAAGGTGAATGAATCACCAGCTCCCGTGGCAGGGCCTTGGCTTTTCACTTCTCGTGTAGTATTTTGGGAACCAGCTGGGAGCTTGTCCTCCAGACAGCGTGAGTGCTGGCATCCTTGGAGAACCGGCTTCCTGAGGCTGGGCAGGAGGTCTTCTTCCTACCTGCAAAAAGAAAATGGAGAAAAACAAGCAAACAAATTTAAAAAACCCTTTCTTTTTGCTAATTGAAGCTCTGAGGAAAACAGAGAAGCCCTCAGGATTTTGCCAGGTTGCGCTCCCATGAGTAAATCTCCCTGCAAGTAAATAATCTCCTGTTTCAGTGCCCTGGAAGGACCCTGGAGCAAGTGTGTGGGATGCTGGGTTTGGTTTGATGCCAGGCAACTGTTCTTATATTCAGACGTACCTACCCTGTTCCCTTTGCCTCAGCATTCCTATTCATTCCTGCCTGAAATAAGCTCTCCGCCTAGTTGATAGGCAAATGCTTTGTTCTACTTCACTTGCACTCTTTATTTCCTCCTCCAAAGGGAATTTTCTTGCAACTTGTTTTGAATGGAGGGGATCCAGGATTTGTGCGGACAGGTCTTATTTCTTCCGTGCTCTTGGCTGCCAAACCAGGCACCTTGCGCTGAGGTTTCCAGCGAGCTGCAGGAGAGCAGGGCTGTGTCTCTTGCTGGGATTGTGCTCCTCGATGCTGGGCACGAGTGTGTGGAAATATGGGCTTAAAGCAGCCAAAGTGCTAGAAATAGGATGTTTGGAAGAAATTAAATGACTGCCCCAGGATGGCAGAGCTGGGGAAGGAGCCTTCTCTGATCCTCGATTGGTGACTCTGTTCCTGTTCCTCCCTGCAGACCCTGCTGGGGCCCGATGGTGCTGATCTTCCCGAGTTCCTGGCCAGGGCTGGAACTTTGCAAAGCATTCCCGAGCACAGGGAGAAACTAGGGTCTCGAAGCAGCACCTATAGCGTCTTTGAGGTGGCGCCTATAGCATCTTTGCCAGCAGGCGGGCTGTCGATGCCTGGGGAGCGAAGTCTGGCCGCGGTGACTCCGTGGAGCGAGCTGTCTCTTTGCACCGTGTCAGCCTGTGTCTCGCTTGCTCCAGGGACCATGCAGTGTGTGGGATTTGTGAGTCAAGGACCCACTTTCCCCCCTGGATCCCCAGCAGGAGCTTGGAGCCCTTGCAGAGGCTCCAAAGCTGTTGCATGAGTGTTTGCAGCTCTTCCTGCACTGGGTGCAGGAGGGGGACTGGGTGTTGCAGCTGGTCTTTGTGTGGCCTGATGGTGATGCACCCCTCTGTAAAGGGTCCCTGGGTTATCATATCCCCACTCCTCCTTATATTTTGCCTACATTTTTCATCTATGTATAATCTTTTCATGGCAATTATCCATAAGGGCTTGTTTGTAACCCTTCCAGGGTAATCTCTCCTGTGTTAGTGGCACTTACAGCTCTCTCCTGGGCACTTTCTTGTCTGAACAAGGTGCCAGGAATCTCCCCACTCTCGAGACGCCCATTCTGGTGGGTTCTGAGCAGAGCCCAGCCCGGTGCAGGGGATCCCGAGGGCTTCTGTGCTTGCGGTCCAAACTAGCCCATCACTTTTCATTAGCACTGGCAATTTCAGGTCAGAGACATAAAAAGGGATGTAGAGGTCTTTAAAAAACATATATTTAAAAAAACATGTCCGAGTTTTAAGGTCTTGCTTTTAGAGGAAAAAGAAATTTTGTTGTATATGAGGTAGAGCAGGTCTGAGAATTATGTGGCTTTAAGATGCTTTGATTCCCCTCCTTGCTGCCTGTCCTACCCCTGGCTTTCTGACCCTGTTTTGCTGGAGTTTGAGGAGCAGGAGGTGGATCTGCTTGGGAAACACAACTGAAATGCACCAAATTCCTTAACTCATCCAAATTCACATAAATGAAACCTTGTGGGCAGCTGTTGCAAAAGGCGTGCTGGGGTGCAGAGAACAAACGAAAATGAATCCAATTTCTGTCTGAACCAAGTTAAAAACCTCCTTGGAGGTGGAGGACAAGTGGCTGGACTGCTCTGAGTTTGTTCTTCAAGTAGCAGGTTGTGGTTTTCATTTGGGGCATGGTGGCACCTTAGGATTTCTAACTGAATTGGAGCCAAGGGGTGTTTGCCGAATAAACGTGGCTCTTTGGGGTAGAGCTTGACTTATAATTATTATTATTTGGCTCATAGATTTTTAAGTTTGTTTGTGTTTTAGTTCAAGGTGAAGGGTTAGGCCGAGGGATTCTCGCAGAGCCACGTAGCTCCTGTCCCGGTGCTGCAGATGTCCCCGAAAGGGCTGGAAAGGCGGCCCTTTCCATACAGCCGTGTTGCGTTATCAGCTTGTGTCTGAATTCAAGGAAATGCAACTTTGTGCCTTTTTTTTTCCTGCTTTGTGCCTTTTTTTTTCCTGCCTTCTTTGCCTTAACTCTTTTGATTTTTGGCCTCCCGAAGTTCTCTCCTGCGATGGATGGTGGGCACCCCTTGCCTCCCAATCCTGGCAAACAGCTGCCAGCAAGAGCACTCTCCAGTGGTGAGAACTGGCAGGAGGCTGCGATATTCTCCCTCCTCCTCCTCCTCCGGACCAGCAGCTCCAGGAAATAGCTCCCCTTGCTGACGGGGAGCAAAGTGGGAGCTCCTGGGCTTGTGGGGGCCACTCGCTGCCTCTGCTTGCGCGTGGTCCAGAACACCAGGCATCGCCACCTTCCAAGGAAGTGAGTAATAGACCTTTGTTACCTCCCTGGGGTCGCAGGGAGCGCGAGGTGGTACGTGAACCAGGTGGCCTTTGGTGCTTTTCTGCTGCCACTCCTCTTTTTTTCCATTTCCTCATGCTGTATTTTAAAAACCAAGGAAAACAACGTGCCGACTCCCCTCCCGAAAGCCGCCTGCTGCTGTGCTGGTGTCTGTAGGATCTGCAGGTCAGAGTTTGGTAGTGAAGACTTTGTGGGGGCAAACAAGGTGTCAATTCTCTAACCGGGGTTCAGAGCGTTTAATGAGAGAGTAACTGGATAGGGCAGAAATTCGTACAGCGTGGAAATCTGTGCAACGTGGAAATGCTGATGGTCTCTGAGGAGCAGTAGGGTTAGAGTGAGACCTGCCATGAAGAGAACCAGCAGAGGCGGGTGTCAAATTCGATATCAGATGTTTGTGTCAAGTAATTTACTGGTTTGAGCAGTAAAATAACCCTCATTGGTGCATTAGGTAGAGACTGAGTTAAAGGAGAGAGAGAAGGGGGAGGGAAAAAGCCTTTTGTGACCAGAGCCTTCTGCTATAGCAGCTTGTCACCAGCAGCAGTGAAGCTGGGGGTGTTCTCTAAAAATCTAATGGAGCGGCTCATAACTAATTTTCAATGAATTCCTCGAGAAAATGTTGGTTTCTTCTTATAAATGCAGACACGTGGGTGTGTCTTTGCACCGTTTTTTCCCTTTTTTAAGCTAGTGAACCACGCAGGAGCGTTGGATCTCTCTCCAAGCAGCTTGGGATCTTCCCCCATCCGTCAGGAATGTCACTCTCCATGCGCAGTGGATGCCACCCACTGCTTATCTGCATCTTGGGCACCTGAACCTCTCTGTTGGGCAGGAAGGAGGCTGGGCGTTAAACCAGCAATCAGCAACCTGAGACCTGGGGAGGGAGAAAGGGGTTTTATTTTAGAATAAAGTCGACTTCACTCGTTCGCACTCATCCTTTTCTATCCATCTGCACCCAAGCACCAATATGGGTTTTTCCAGGTTATCTGCCCAGCATCCAGTCACCGAGGTGCATGTGTCCAGACGATCTGGACAGCGTTTCTTGCAATGACACAGCAGACAAGAGGTGCCAAACATTAAGTCCACCTGATGTCTCTCGAGCTGGTGTACTGGCATTGAGTCTGCCTTTTTATATCCTTTAGGAGGTAACAGTAATTGTGATCTTTTGTCTTTACATCCTGTCCCTTCTGTGAGTCATGGGGATTTACTTACTACCCTTTGTCTCTTTATCTGGGTGTCTTAAGGCTCCTATTCTCTGTCCTTCTCAGCATCATCTCCTAATGGCTTGAGTCTTTGCCGATTGCCTCTGTCCCTTGTTTCAGGATGTCCCTTGCCTTCCAACCTGATAAGCTGCAGGCAGGATCTTGATGAGCCATTAAATTAGGTGATTCCCTATGCCTTTTGATACTTCTGGTGCCTCTGTACTCCCTTCACACTTCCATTCCTTCTCCATTCAGATGAATATTAACATTTATTTTTATGATGTGATTCGTGGCCTTGGCTTGGACAGGAAGGATTACCTTTGTGTGTGTGTGATAATGTTGTACAGGGGGAGTCAAGGGACTGATTCTGGCTCCAGACTGAGTGATCAGAAGCCCGAGTTGCACAAGTGCTTGGAGAGCTCCTGCTCACAAGCTGGCAACTTGCGTTGAGCGGTTTGAGAGGCAGCCGCTGCCAGGGCCGGCTCCGAGCGTGGGCCGGGAGGAGCGCGGCGTGGCCCCTGCTCCGGCGTGTTCCTGGTGAGCCGCTCGGGTCGGGGCTACACATATGCCAATCCTCAGCGATTTTGGGGTGGTTTTACACAAGCAGCAGCTCTGGTAGTATCTGCTCCTCCACACTGTAGAAAGCAGAGTTTCTCCAAAAAGCTTGTGGGAAAAGCTGCAAGCATTGGCGGAGGTGGTACATGGTCTGCCATTGAGCGGAGAGGATTTTGAGGCTGATCTACTTCTCTTGTAATCTCCTGAGCTCATCAGTGAGCATCTTCTGCGACAGGCTGAGCTTGTCTCTCTCTTAACGCGTGATGTGGATTGGGCTGGCCTGGATTTGAGGCAACATTCTCAGCTCTCTGTGCTGTCTTTGTTTCTCCGTGCAGGTTCCTCAGAAGAAGATGGTCTAGAGCCAGCGCAGCTGCCGCTTCCTATCGCTTTGTGCCCCGGACCCCAGAGCGGATCATGGCAGCAGCCCAGGGGGCAGGCAGCAGTTCAGCTGGGCCCTCCGGGCTCCCCAGCTCTGCCCCAGGGCACAGCAACTCCCCGGCCGTGGCTGTGTGGGAATGGCAGGACGAATTCGGGAGGTGGAGGCCCTACCGAGGCAACGTGTGCAGCTACATTGAGCAGGTTTTCCAGGAGTCTCAGCAGAAGGGCCGGCGTTTGGGGCCGGGACCTGGCAACAGCATCCCCTTGGGCCATGCTGACGCTGTCTTGGCCCCCTACGTCATCGACATCCCAAGTCTGACGCAGTTCCGACAGGATACAGGTAAGGAAGCTTGCCAGCCTGTGTTGGGGTTTTGTTGAGAGTGCTCAGAGTTAAGCAGAGCCCAGCTCTAGCAGGAGAGCCCTGCAAAGCAGCTCTGTCTGCCACTGCCAGGCGCTTTGAAGGGTCTCTGATGGGCAGTGTATCAGCTCCCTGCCCAATCCCATCTGCCAGCCCCACGTGCAAATCACCATTGGATCCTGTGGACAGGCAGGGCTGGGTGGCTGGGCTCGGGCAGGCCCAGCTCCTTCCCAGGGCAGAGACTTGGGGCAAGAGGTGACCTATTAAGGAGTCTCTTCCTGGGAACTCTGGAGCTCAGTGCTTGAGAGCCAGAGCCCACAGAGCTGCAAACTTTCTTCCTGCCCCCGCCTGCGTTCATTCAAGACCACTCGCACAAAAAGGCCTTTCTACAATTCAAACCCTCCCGTTTGAGTCCCTTGTTCCCCGTGCGGCTGGAGTGCCAGCTGCTTTGCCTTGGCATGCCGCCCTGTGCAAGCTGCTTTGCAAAAGCCTGCAGCCCCCGCACAGCGCTGTAGTGCTGCAGCAGAATATCCCCCACTTCTGCTCTGCGAGCCTCGCTTGCTCCTTCCTAGGCAGGAAGGATGGGCTGGTCTCAGCAGCGGGACCGAGACCTAATTTTCCTTCTCATCCTGTCTCCTTTGGAGTCACCGAGGAGCTCACAGTTTGCTGAGATAACTCTTACTCTCTTTTGCTCCAGATGTGTTGAGCAGCTGAGGCACAGGAAAGGAATGGGGATGGAATGTCTGATCTTCATCACCAGAAAATTCAGGGAGATCCCAAATTACACACCCCAAATGAATGTCAGCTTTGGAAAATTCTTCATGCATCAGTTTTCCCTCTACCAATACCCTTCCTGTTATCTCCAGTGCTGTCAGATGGGAGATGCAGGAGATGGGCAGCTTACTGGTCTCTTGCCAGTTGAAGGAATAAATGAGCAATATCTTGAATCAACCGTTCAGGCAACCCCTAAAGGAAGGGGAAGCAGCTGGAGCCAAATGAATGGTCCTTACAGCTGCATCTGTGCTTGTATTCTAACATTCTAGCAGTCATCAGTGGCTTTAGATTAATTCTGTACGAGGGTTTTCTGGGTGAGGAGTTTTCTTAGCTGGATACATTAGCAGGTCTGGCCTGTTTGAGCACCTGCAAGCTCCACAGGGACTATGGCTTTGAGTAACACAACCCAGAGCACCAGAGCTGACGCCAGTGGCTGTTTCTTGCTTTCTCAGTGCCAAACTTCTGAAGGAACCTTGGCTTTTCAGCCAGACTCTCAACACACAGGCAACAGTCCCTCTTGTTAGGATACCATCCACTTTCAGAAAATGGCCAGCTGATGGCTGCTGGGTTAGCATGGTGGTTAGGAAGGCTTTTGCCAGCAGGTTGGGTTATCAGCAGCGAGTTATCCCTGGAACCCGTGAGCAGTGTGTCCCAGGGGAAACAGGGCTTCCATTTCCAGGAGGCAGTGATGTCTCTGGAGATGCCCTGCATCTCTACCCCTATGAAAGATCTCAAAACCCCTTGCAAATGATGCAAGTCCTTTGCAGAAGAGTTAGAATTGAATATCTCTGGAAGCTAACCATGAAAAGACTAAAATTTTGGAAACTGTGCTAGCTTATGTGGTCTCACCATCCCTCAGATGGTATCTGTGGTGGGATCTTTACTAACAAAACGACTGTCTCCACAGCACTGCCACAGTGTTTCGGCACGGAGGGATGCTGACCAGAGCGGTCAGGCCTGGGAGTTTTCTTCCACAAATGACTGCCCTATCTAGTCTTGAGTGTGAGCCTTGAACGCTCTGTTTTATGTCCCAGATCTAAGCAAAGCTCCGTTCCTCTGCAGGACTGCCTGCCTTAAACACAAGCCTTTCGGAACAAGCAGCCAGCTGACCTTTGTTATGTGCTGGAGAAAAGAATCCCTGCAGGAAACATCCCCGTGAAAAATCTTTAAACAGAGCAAAAAAAAAATAGGCTGTTGTATTCTGCTCATTAGCTGTTACAGACAAATAGGCTCTTCAAAGGAAGCTGGGGAGAATAACAGGAAACCAGTGTTAACGGGACGAGCATCCCCACCAACAGGAATGACAGCTGTGCAGGGGGATCTTGTGGGCAGGATGAGCCACAAGCTTCAGCTGCTGGGCTAGGCACATTAACTGGAAGGGAATGCAGAGGAGCAGCAGGAGTTGTCCTCTCGCTCCAGCTGTTTGCCACCCTGGAGAGAAATGCCAGTTTTCCTGCCAGCTCGGGGGAAGGGGGATATTTTCCAAGAAATTTTCCTAGTCTTGCTGTTGACTCCTCGAAGCTCCTCTCCCTGCTGCTGTTCTGGGATCCTAAAGATATAAGTCACTTTGCAACTCCTAAAAACCTTCTTGTGCTGCTTCTGTCCTGCCGGTGGTTCCCTTATTCATCCCTACATATCGTGCATTTCTCTGCATCCTAGCTCCAGTACAATCCCATTCCTAACCTTTCCTTCCCTCGAGTTCTACCCTTGTGTAGCCTGCCTGCTAAGACCTTAGATTTGCACAGGCCTTCATGTAAAGCTTGGCAGGACTCTTTTGCTGCATATGAGCAGTTCTTGCTAGAATTTGCTCCTGGCTATGTGCTCTGATTTCCCATACAAGAAGCTGGTTCTTGGCTTGGGGAAGAGCAGCTTGGTTCTGTTGACACCTTCTACCCCAATTTCTGCAAGATGGAAGTCGTATCCCAAAAAAATCTCTGAACTTCATTGAGCTCTTGGAGCTCAACACAGAATTGAATCTTGTACGAGAGAGATTACTGTATATCTCACTGTTGCTTCTTCGTTGTTCTGATTAGATGTTTTGTGTTGTGTCACTGGAGAGCCCTACCCTGCAATAAGCAGGGAAACTTGATGCTGAAGCAGTAGGTTGGGATCCATCATCCTCTGCATGGATGTGGGCAAGTCCTTCCAGTTCTCGGTGCCTTCAATTCTCTAGCAGAGAAACAAGTCCTGTTGTTTATCACTGCAGAGCATTTGGCCTTTGAGAAATTATCTTATCAGCCTTCATTTCATCTCTGGAGCTCAGATCTTTCTTTCCTGTTTTAGTTCTTGGAATGACACATTAGGGCATCTCTAAATTCACCTTCAGAAGAATTAATCTAAATACATTCTTGAACACAGGGAGTGATCGGAAGTTCAGTGAGGGCTATTCCTCCTTCTTTGGAGTGTGCTTATTGGGTGTTAAGCTTGCTTGGATTGTCTCCCTGCCACAAAAACATGAGGAAAATTCTTGGGTAGTTATCCACAAGCCTGAGATGCGAAAACTTGTAAATGAGTCTTTTTTTCACCTTGGCTCCTCGAGCTTAGGGTCGTAATTCCCATGATGTGTTTACAGGCTTTTCAACCTTTCTCTTGGTGCTTTTCATGTCTGATCTTTGCCTTTATCATAAGGACTCCATCACTGCGTTCCTGCTCACCACCCTTGTGCCTGCAGCCCCAGACACGCTTGCCCTGCGGCGTTTCCTGCCCCTCTTTCTCAAGGCTGAGAGTTGCCGAGGATTTTCCCAGCAGGAGCAATTTGGATTCTGTGTCAGGAAGCCATTTTTGCAGAGCTTAGACTTCTATCCTGTTAGATGCCTTCCTTCTCCTCAGCCTTTTTTTCCCTTTAGCAAAGGGAAAAAGCAACCAGGAATGATACCGCTCTGGAGAGTGAGGCTTTTGGTAGGTTTTGAGCTCTGACTGTAGCTGCAGAGCAGCCTTGGAAAAGCAGCGTGTCTGTTTTCATTCCTCCTCCTCTGTGGGAACAGCTGTTCTCCACAGTTTCCAAACTACCTTCCTGGCTTTTCTTCTCGTGCTACATCACCCAGCAGGAAGGAGCCTGGAGAAGCTGGCCCTGTTGGTCCCCCCTCTCAGGTGAAGTTCCTGTCCTGCCCTTGCAGGACTTTACCAGAAGACCTTGACTTTGCCAGAAGTAGTCCAGATCCCCATGCAGTCACAAGTAGGTATTCAGCCCTGTAAGTGCTTCTGTAAAGCGCTTCCTAATGGTCTTATGTCTCTATAGTTACTCCGTTGTCAAGGCTCTTTACCAGGTCTGTGCCTCAGCCTGGTTTTGAACCGCAGTGAGACATATGTGATCAATGTGCCTGTGCTTGGGTGGGTCTGTCTGCCTCTCCTCTCTCTTTCCCTCCCTCCCCACCCTTCCTCACAGCAGCTTTTGAACCTGTTGCCAGCCCTCAATCAGATTTGGCAGCCACACAGAGATCTTGGAGGTATCGCCTATCTCTTGAGCATCGTGAGCAAGCACGGCCACCGCGGGGAGGGAAATTCTATTGGTGTCCCCATCAAAGGAGAGACCAGAGAGATCAGCCCTATTGAGACATCAGCAAATCTGTGCACTAATGGGTCACTGAAACAGAGTCCCCCTTTTTTGTGGTGGTTTCCCCTGTGCTCACAAGATGCTACGTGTGTTTTCTCCCCCACGCAGGGACCATGCGATCCGTCCGCAGGCACCTCTTCCCTCAGGACTCTGCTGCTGGGCAGGGTGTCGTGTGGGAGTGGCAGAACGATGAAGGCGGCTGGTCCCCCTACGAGATGAACGTCTGCGTGTTCCTGGAGCAAGCCCATGCCACAAACCATCAGCGGGTGGACCTTGGACCCTTAGGCTACAACTACGAGGTAGACTTCGTGGCTCAAGTCCAGACCAACAAGACCACGAAGTTCCGACGCAACGTTCAGAGGCGCCTGGATGTTCCTTATCCAATGACAGCGGCCTCGGGACCTGTTCACGCAGGGATGGTTTGTTCTTGTCAACAGTGCTGGTTTAACAGTGGGACTCGTCCTATCACCATGCGTTACCGGCACTCTATGATAAACTTCCCCAACTCCTCTGCTGCACATCAGGTTTCCAGTCGGACAACATCAGTAAGTGCTTCTGGCCTTGGCTTTGTGCCCTATAACAAACCAGCGTTGTATGGAGCGAGGTCAACAACAAGACTCAATGCACAGAGCACCTGGGCTTTGCCTCAAGCTGGAGGTGCCGGGGGCCCCAGCACAGGACTGTCTGCGTCTAACGGAGTCAGGTACAGAACCTCATTCACCCTCGTGAGCACTGTGTGTGTCTGAGACCTGGGATGCTCTGGTCCTCCTGTCTAGGAGCCCATGAGTCCCAGAGGACTTTGCAGTGGTCTTTGCACTAAAGGGAAGAGGAGGTGTTTGAGCCTTTGTGTCCAGTATACTGGATAAGAAGGCTCAAAACCTCATGGTCTTCCTCTCTTGTCCTTTCTCCCACTTGAAATCTATCCCCTTCAGCTCTGCAAATCTCTGTGACCCGCTGGAGAAAGTGGCTGAGTTGGTACTGCAGGTTTGAGGAAACTAAAGGGGAGAGTTAATGGAAACGTTTCTGTTTACATTTAAAAGCAGCTTTACACTGGGCAGCAGACAGAGAAGGGGGATTTGTGAATAGCACAATTTAATTCAAAATATGCAGCAAACATGGAGTGGAAAACTGCTCTGTATTCAAAGCTCTTCCCCTTGAAGGACGGACTGCAGAACTCTCCGTGTGACTGAGACCCCATGAATTTCCTGACAAAATTAGGAGGTCTGTTGTTTCTAAGGTAAACAAATAGAAACAAAACTGTAGATTTGCCCAATGATTTTAAAAATCCACCGTGAAGCTGTTTAGAGAACTGAAGTGTCGAGCCAGTGTTTTACTTTCCCATTGTTCTGCTCTCCCTTTCCTAAAAGGCTTCCTTGAGCCATATTGACCCCCATCCTTACCTGAAATCAATGGGCTGACATTAGCAAATTGAAAGTGGTTCCAGGCTATTCATTAGGTTAAAAGCTGATGCAGAGCAGAGATACCACTGAATAATCACAGAAGAGTTTATTCTGTGTGTATTGAAGTGCTCTGGGGCATCGCTGTAGCAACGTTCAAGGGCTGAAGGCACAAGCAGAACTGTAAGTGATTTTAATACCCAACTGGAGAAGGTTGTTTGCCATTTGCCTTCTCTTTGCCTTTCCTTAGGTGCCTGGATATTTAGAACAGGTTCAGCTTGGAAGGAGCTGGTTGTTTTGAGGGAGGCCCCAGTTGTGTCGCTCGTTGGGGTGATGGTGCCGGCACCATCGGCTCTGGGCTGCGGTTCTTGTGCTTGGGTTTAGCATCCTCAGAGCAGTGCTGTGAGCAGGGAGCCTTCGCTTCCCCCCTCAGCTGCCTCAGCCTCGTGTCCCAGTGCTGCCGAAGGTGCCTTGTGTTGCAGAGCATCCGTTCCCCGGCGCAGCTGCCAGCCTGGGGACAGCGGCAAAGAGCAGAACCCTCTGATCGTGCCCTCTTGGAGCACTGGGACCACTCGTGGGCTGCAGGCCGTGCTGGACAAGCGATGCTGCGGCTGCGTGAGCTCTGGCTCCTGTGCTCCCTCTGCAGCTCAGCTGGTTGTGGTCCTGCTAAGGTGGCGAGTGGCATCTTTGCAGGAATCCCTGGCTAGGGCAGCCCTTCTGGGGGAAGGGATAGGGCCCGGTGTTTGCTGGGCTCAGAACACGCAACACAGCTGTGGCCGTTCGGTCCTTGGAGAGGCTGGCCGGGTTTGGGGGAGAGCAGCGTGCTCTGCGCCCCGCGTCGCGCCGCGGGTGCCTTGGCTCGTCCAGCTCCTGCCGCTCGTCACCGCAGCGGCACCCGGGGTGCCCCGGGCAGGGTGTCTTGCCGGAGGTTGTTGCGGCGAGCATGAAACGGTGCCGATGGGATCCGGGCCTGGCTGGGCGCACACCTGCACCCTTGGAGGCAGCCTGGCCCGCAGGGTGCTGCAGCCACCGCCTTTCCGCGCAGTTCCTTCCCGCTCCCTAGTGCGGACAGTTTCCACTGGATGTATCTGTGGAACCCTCTGTTATCCCTGCACTCCCCAGGGGACATGTGTAGATTCCCAGCCAGACTGCAGCCTTGCACCAACGCGAGAGGCTGAGACAAGGGAGGGAGGCAGCAGCTGAGGAACCAACTCAAACTGCTCCCGGAGAAGAGACTCCCCTGTGGTTACTTTTCCTAAGAGGTCCCTGCTGACAGACACATCCACACCGGGGAGATGCAGCAATCTCTGTCTCCCAGTTGAGTGCCCTGTGTTTCAACACATGCTGACAGCTCACGATGGCTTTTCCTCCGTCTTCCCATGTGCTAGATTGCAGTCGGAAATGCCACTAAGCTGGTGTAATTGCTCCGGTCTGGGGTTACATCTCGGGCTTGTGAAATCCATATTCCAGCCGCAAATACCCTCGTTGCTGCGAATTAGAGGTAATCGGAGCACCGAGCTCTAACAATGTGTTTCATTTAACTCCTAAGCCCTGAACGTTCCCCGGTTACTTTATCCGCTGGGTTCCCGAGCATTCCCGCCCGGCTGGCTCTGCTTTGCTGGGACGTGCTGCACTGTCCAGGCCTGTGCTCCGTGTGGGCACATGGGATGTCCTGTGACCTCCGGGGGCACGGGATGGACCTGGAAGCGTTGTGGGCCACTGACCAGCCGGCTGGTGGGCTTCCTGTTTGGAAAGGGAGGAAGGAGAAAAAGATGGATAAACGGCACGGTTTGGAAAGATGCCGGCGGCGAGGGAGCTGCCGCTCACCCTGCTGGGCCGTGTTTGAGCAGGGACCACACAGCAGCAGGTGCCTGGGGAGTCTCTGGTGGCTAATAGGGTTGCGTTGCACTGTCGCCACAGTCTCTGGCTCCCTGTGCTGGGGTCCTTCTCTGGGGCACTGCTCATCCTCGCTAGGCTTGGGGCACGGCCGTGCTCAGAGACTTGCCTGTCTCTGGAGCGGAGCTGTAATGGGCAGAGGGCTCCCCAGCTGTTACGGGGGGACTTAAGGACACTTGTATACACACTATGTTCAAGGAAATGCACTTAAATATTTTTGCTTCTATCATGAGCTTGCTGAATTAACGAGGACAAGCCGTATCGCTTCTTGGCGCCTTTAGTTTCCTTCTGCGGATAAAACCCACTTAACGTGTCCGATCTCCTTCACCAGAGCCAGCGGATGGAGCAGCAGGGGCCACATCCTGATTCTTGCCTCTGGAAAAAGGTCTTGGGACCACAAGGGAGCCTGCAGGACAGTGGTGTTCCCAAGGGACGGGTCTGGCACTGGAACCCCAAATCCCCCAGTGAGAATGGGGGACTCGTAGGACCAGGTGATGCGATTCGGGTGCCAGACCCTGCACAGAGCCATTTGCCTTCTTGCTGCTCCTTTTCTTTTGCTTCTTTCAGCTCTTTTGCCCACGGTCCCAACAGCAGCTTCTCAGAGGCTGCCTGTGTCATCCTGGGCACAATGCTGGTCCTTGCCAAGCCCACGGGAAGCGACCACAAAGCGTTGGTTCAACCCTTTGCTTGCAGCTAAGCTGCCCCGCAGGTCAGTCGCACCCAGGCATTGCAGGACAGCTCCCCTGGACACTCCATGTGTCACCTGAGCGGGTCCCCAGTGGTGAAACCCGAGGACCTGTGTGGCTGCGTGCAGGTCCTTCCTAATGGGGCTTAGTCTAATGGTTAGTGTCGCCTTTAGAAGAAAGGCGGGGGAAAAACTGCTGTGTTTGAGGCTCTGAGAGCACAAAGTGTTTTCACAGCTGTCCTCGAGCTGGGGACAGAGCTTTTCCCTTCCGTAATGAGGACGTGCAGGGTGGGAAGCAGGTCAGATGCAGCTGCGCCAGCGCTGCTGTGTCAGCGTGCAGGGCTGCCGCGGAGCAGGCTCCCAAGAAGTGGAAAGGGGCTGGGTTATCCTGGCTTTGCCCTGGCTCTCTGGGCGCTGCGGGAGCACCCGGTGCTCCTGGGAGCCTGGCTGAGCTGCCAGGAGAGGCGCTGGCTGCTTGGGAGGGCTGCAAACACTCTGTGACACGGGAACACGCAGTGAAACTGGGCTGAGTCCTGGGGCAGAGGGAGCCCCTGCCACAGGGACCGTGCTCTGACTCTGGGCATTGGTGATGGCAAATGTTACCAGTGATTTCTTGCTGCGTCTTTGAGGAAACATCTTATTTTGGATCTCTTAGAGGAAAGGGTCTTATTTTGGGTTCTTCCTTCTCAGCCTGTGCTTTCCCTGTCGCGCTGCCGCAGCTCCTGTGCAATGGGGACAGTGGGAACCGCGGGGACTGGCAGGGCTGAGCTGGCCTGGGAGGAACCAGCACCGCGTAGGGAACCACAAGCCTAAGCTGCAGGCTCAATGCAGGCTCTCAGTGCTGCTGACCGGCCCGATTTTCCCTGCCCTGGCAATATCCTTCCTCATCGCTTGCCCCGGCAGAGCCCTTCCGAGCCGGCTGAGCTCTGGGTGGCATTTCTGCCCCTCTCTGGGCATGGCAATGCTTCCTCCCACGCACTGTGGCTTCCTCCCACGCACTGTTGCTTCCGATCCCCCCCGGCCGAGCTGTGGTGTTTTGCAGTACCCTCACCACGCGTTCCCCTTGATGTTTTTGTCAGCCTCGGATTTCTGCAGATGTGAGAGGATGTGCGTGCCAGCCCTGCGAATTCATTCACACGGGATCAGGCACACAGCAAGCACGGCCCGCAGTGTGAGCTGAGCTGCTGTTCACGGCCCGTGCGCGCGTTTGTAGCCCGTGCCAAATGGGAAATAAAAAAAGGATTTGGTTCTGCCATCGAATCAGTTGGCTTAAAGCGTCGCAGCAGTCAGAGCTGACACGCTTTGCGTTTACCGTGTACCAGGAGTGCATCTGATCAGGGACTGTTTCTGGCTCATGGATGGTAATTTATCTGCAGTGCATTTGCAACTTCCAAAACTTGATTGCTTGCAAATGCATCAATTGCTTATTCATTTCCATCTGTAAATCTCAAGGGCTCTTCTCGTTTTGTAAAAGCTCTAGCTGCTGAATGGCTCCGACTTGAACCTTGCAATGAAGGGAAGAGTGAAGTGTTTCTCAGTCTGTCTTCTCAGAACATGGTTCCTTGTGATCCTCCTCCAAGCAGCTGTGGCTTTGCCTTCTTCAGCCTCTGCTGCAGAGTGCCCCTTTCCACATCCGCAGGTTTTAAGGAGGTGTCTGAGTGTTAGCTCTTACTGAGGGGTTTTGCTGCCTCTTTGCAGGTGGCAGAACGGGGCTTTTACCAGTTCAAATGTGAGTGCATCTTCTGTATGAGGACTTCAAGAGCATCTGCCTTGGTGGCAAAGGTGGGACACGTGAAACCTTCACAAAAGAGAAGGTGCAAGAGACTGTTCCAGGCTCTGAGGATGCAGCAGGCGATTGCAGAGAGAGACAATCAGTCCTACTTGGAAGGTCAAGAAGGAAATCTAAGGCAGGGAGACTCAGGATAGATGCAGGACAAACAGTGAGTCACAGGACTGAAACATTGCCAGAAATTAATTAGGGAAATTGTGGTGCTCCTTGTGTTAGGCGTTGTCAAGAACGGATAAGACAGAGAGCTGCTGGTGCCAGTCTGGGTGTGTTTGTGTCTCAGTGCAAGGAGGTGGACGGAACGATGTCGGAGCTTCATTCCCAGTGCTCGCTGACACACACAGCTTGCTTTCTCCAAAAATACAAGTTGGGAGAAGGCCCTGCTGCCCATCTACTTTTCTCACAGAGCTGAAGGGTCAGCTTTGCCTTCTGCTGTTTCCACCTTCCCACAGGAAGGGGAGCATGAAAACGCCGGGGTGGCTGCTGCCCTTCGTGGTGTGATGGGGCACAAGACTGCATCAATCACAGTCACCGTCTGGGGCACAGAATTTGGGGGGGTTCTGAGGCCCCCTCTTCTCTCTTGTGCCCTCATCTTGGAGGCGAAGATGGGGAGAAGCCCAGGTTGGAGATTTTTGGTGGATGAGACCCCACTGATCTTTGGGAATAGGTCTCTAAATTCCCTCCTGTGTGTAGCTGGAGAAGGTACAATCCTGTAATTAGCTGTTATCCAAGGAGGACCGTAGGCAGGAGCAGAGGGAAGCACGGGGAAGGATAGTATAGGCAAAGAGGAAAGAAAGACTTAAGGAAGAGCTGTGATGAAGAGGCTAAATTGGGAAAGAAGAGTGTCACGGAGTCATCACGCCATCTGATTCAAAGCCCTTGGAAACCGAGGGGAGAATTTCCACTGTATTCAGTGAGGTTTGAATTGGACCGTAGCGAGAACAGTCTATTGCGTCAGTTGGAAACATTGCAAAATTGGGTACAGCGGAGGGAAAACCCAGTCCTCGAAACGGGCGGAAGGGAGCCCTCTGCAACCTGGAGAAGCCTTTAAGGGGTTGCAGGAGCTCTCCCCACTTGTCTGGGGCCAGCACGAGCCCTGGGTCCTGCCCGGGGCATCGCAGGGAGCTCGATGCTCGTGCAGGAACCGCTGTCGAGCTGGGGCAGGTAGGAAAAGAGGGAGGTGGGGATGATTCCCTGGTGCCGGGGGGGACAATAGGCGATGCTGCTCCCTGGTCTCTTCAGCTCTGCTCGTTGTCAAGGAAAAGCAGACGGGGATTTGGGCAGGGCTGCAGAGCGGGACCTCGGTCAGTGACGCTGTTCTGGGCACCGTGGCCGCTCTTGCAGCGCATCCAGTGCCAGCCGGCTTCCCTCTGGGTGGTGAATGTCACTGGGTGGTGAATGTCACCACACTATCTTAATCTGCCCTGCACATTCCCAGGAAGCTGGCCAGGTCTGGTGTAACTCGGGATGTCTTTGGGAGCCCTTTGCGTGCTGCTGTTCCTCCGTGCCTGTCGCAGCCGCTGTGCGGGGCCTGCGCTGCGACGGGTGTATGTACACCCAAAGCAGCGGCTGTGCACAGCGTCTCACAACCAGCACGACAGAATTCAAATGTTCCTGCTCTGCTCGTGTGGACGCAGCTTTCTCCTTTAGCAACTTTCAGGCTGCTGCTTGTGCTTTTCCTTCCTAATTCCTTATGGCAGCCAAATATGTCCCTGTCTGCCCATATATCTCTGCCTAATGTGAAGTATGGTTATAAGCCCCGGGAAACGCTCCCAGGAAAGTAGGTTGGGAGGCTGAAAATGTTCAGTGTCCAAATGCTCTTGATTTCAGAGGGGCTCTTTGGTGAGCAGCTCTTCCTTCCCTGGAAGGTGCAGGATCAGTGTGCTGCATCCTAGTGCTGTGGATGCACTGGCCTGTCTGCAGCACGAGTGGGTGCTCTCAGGAGGCTCCCTGGAGCATCCAGAGCCAGAGGGGATAACAGGGTCTGCTGGCAGCACGGGCAAGGGCAGTGATGGAGGCTGGAGACCCTGGCTCCATCCAGGGATTCACGTCGGGAGCAGCAGGGAACAGCACTGGGGACAAGCTATCTATAACTTAGCTCTGAGGTCCACCCAGGGGATGGGACTGGACACAGGTACAGCTAGGGCAGAGCTCAGGCGAGGGTGGACTCCTTAAATACAAGTGCTGGACCAGTGGGCAGAGGATGTGTGGGAGAGAGACCCTCATCCAGGGAGAGATTCGCCCGTCCTGGATGAGGCTGCTCTGGGTGATTCAGGCCTGTTAGGATACTCAGGAGCACTGCCACTATGAAAGGAACATGAATATCGTGTGAATTGTCTCTCTTGTCTAGTGATTGATCTGTGCTGTTAAACTCGTCCTCTTTTATTTTGTTTCCTCTTCAGCACCCCAAACCTGCCGATCAAGATGCCCAAGCCCAGCAAAGTGAACCAGGCGTTGGCAGGTAAGAATCCTTTTCTGCTTCATCTACTTTGTCCCTAGGGTTATGCAGTTAAGTGTTTTCCTTGTCTGAGGTAGGTACTTTCTATCTCTTTTCTTTTAGTTTTCAGAAAGAGTCTGAAATGTCTCTGAGGTCCCAAGTCTTTATGAATAGTGTTTAGTCCCAAGACAATTCATAAAGGTAGAGCGAGACTGTATTTGGGAGAGAAAGGGAAAATGAGACCTTACCAGCTGTTTTTGCTTAAGGCTTTGTGTTCGTGTCCAACTCTGGGTGAGGGTTTGATGCTAGTCAGAATCTGAGGCTCCAGGCCAATACCTTTCTAATCAAGCCTTGGGAAAACGGGACATGTTCTGATGTGTAATCAGTCTCTCTTCATGGCAGAGATAAGCAGAGGGTTCTTGCTGAATGGTCCCTTGAGAACATTTCTGAACTTGCAGTCTGTGGTTTAGAGATGGGTCACAAACTATCAGAAGTTGGCTCTGAAAATGAGTGGGTTTGAGATGTGGATTTCCATCTTCTCCTGTATGTGTAGGTGAGCAAGTAGCACAGGGAAGCATACGGATCTGGGTAAATATTAGTTGTTCACCCAGTGCCGCAATGAAGGAGGAAGGCTGCGCTGCGAGACGTGTGGAATTCTCTGACGTGACTTTATTCTGCAAGCTGGGGTGGTCCTGTAGGCTGAGAAATGGTTGGGCCACATTGCCTTAAGAAAAGGAAGAACCAGAAGGTGAGCCAGATGTTCTTTCCCATAGAAGCAGACATACGAGTTTCTTTTTATCATCAAAACCTATGAATCCTAAATGTGCCTGAGGAGAGGGTGTAGCAAAGACGAAAGGGACATTTTTCTGCAGTAATTTGCAGAGTAGATCTGCTCGTTACACGTGAAATGGCATGGCCTGGAAAATGACAACAGGCGCTTGCAGCTTCCAGGGGAAGCATTTCAGGTTTGAGTGCCAGAACCCATCAGGTGTTCGATGTGCTTTGTTTTAGCTAGCTCCAAACTCAAAAGATTCTAGTCTGGGGGGGCCTTAGGAGCCACCTAATAGCAAGTGGTAGCACCTGATAGCAAGTGTCCTCTCCCCAGCAAGAGTGACTGTGCCCTTGGTATCATACAGTGGTGATGCAGCACCCTGGATGCATGGAAAAAAACCCTGCAAATTTGCCTGGTCTGTTTGATCCTCACATGCTACATTTAGATGTAAAAGACTGCAGGAGCCCTCAGTAGAATTTACCACCATTTAATAAAATAACACGCAAGGGTTATGTTTGCAGTCATTTTTTTCAGAGAAGTCTGAATGTGAGTCTGCCCGTTCAAGTAGGAGCAGAGGAGAGATCTGGACAAGCTAATTAGCAAGTGAGAGGAAAATAAATGTCTGGGAATGTTTCTGGTGAAAAAGCAAGCAGTGGAGTTCTGAAATTTTACTGGAACTTTAATTGGCTGGGCCTTTAGGCACATCTCCTGCTCTGCTTCTAGCACCTCTTCTGGGACGTGTTATTTTCTTCATATTCAAAATCCTGCAGATGTTCTTTGATTTACTTACTGTTCAGATCACTCCATAACACTGAGCCCTTTCTGCTCCTCAGTCCCCATGGCATGGCCATTTCCTGCAGGATTTTAGTGCTGCTGGGGACCCAACGGCCTCTGTGATAACCCTGGAGGACAGGGATGTGCCTGGGGCCTCAAATGGGACCTGTGGTTTTGCAGGGGCTGGCTCACACCATGCAGTGCTCTGATGTCTTGGCTGGTATCTGGACCTCTGAGGGGGGTTAAAATGCATCTCTAACTGCTTTTAGCTATCTGAAAGCTACAAGTCTAACCTAGTGTTTGCATGTGCTGCCTCCCCAGCCAGTAAAGAGAAATCGGCCTCTTCATGCAGTAAAACAGAGCCAACCCATGGGTGCTGCTGCTCAGCATCAGGAAAACTTCCTCGAGTTTAGGGGATGAGCGAGGTGAGCCCAGCCTTGCTGCTCAGCGGGGGATCTGCGGGATTCTGCCTTGCTTTGCTAAGCAAAAATTAAAAATCAAAAAGCTAGAGATCGCTACGGCCTGAGATGCTTCTCAGCAGTTTTGATTCCAATTGGAAAGAGGGAAGATGAACCCCTTGAGTCTTGCGGGTTGTCTCTGGAAAGGCTGCAGATGCCCCTGGAAATAAAAGGTGGTGGCAAATGGGATCCCGCTGCTCTGAGCGGGGCTCACTTGTGCAGTCTGGACCTGGGGGCTCTCGGAGTGAGGAATTCCTAATGTTATCAGTCCCACGTGTTCTCAAAGCACAGCTTGGAATCCCAGAAAACACAACGTTGACTTTAAAACCCTGGTTATTGCAACAGAGAAAGTTTGAGAACGTTTTGTGTGTGTGTGTGTTTTTTGCTTACTTTTTGCTATATTAATGCTTCAAGGTGCAAACTTGTCTTTTAAACTTCTTTTCTTTCAGTCTTTGGTTAGGACTGTGAATTCCAGCATAGAGGCCTGTGAAGACAGTTGAGCCACGGTGCTGGTGATAAAAAATCAGCTGAACTAACATCTTTTTGGAATAATGTAGCTTCTGGGATGAACCAGGTGTCATAGGAAGTACCTTCCAATATTATCTTTTAAGATGAGGGCTGGAAATTAGGGTTTGTTTTAAGTGCTTCTCGTGCATGCGCTTCTAGAGCCGGGACACTCTGAAACGCACCAAACCTGATGATTTTGCTGGTGGATATAATCATACTAATTAACTCTGCTCTGTCTCCAGTACCTTATGTTATTTGACAGCAACCTCTGCCCTTTCCCTAATTTCTGTCATTTCTCCTCTATGCGATTCAATCCAAGACTGGAACCAAACACGTACTAATCTGTGCAAATATAACACACATACTAATCTGTGCAAATATAACAAAATCCAGGCAAATGTCAGTCAGGGCAGTGAATGGAGGGGCACGTTGGATGGGTGCACGAGCAAGGGGGTGGCTGACGCTCACTGCGTTAGGTCAGTGTGTTTTCCTTTTGCTCAACTCTGGCATGCCACAGGATATTGCAAAAGGGCCTTATTTACAGAGCAGGCTGAAAGAAAAGCTGCTGGATGTTGTCATAGCTGCAGCAAAAATAGTTCTAGCCCCAAGGAGCCGGTGACGTTGGTCTTCTGGCCACATAGATGCTTTGGGAGACGGAAGAGGTAGTTTTCTTTGTGTGTTTATTGCAGGCACTTGTACAAATATGTCTTAAGCAAAACACTCTTTGCAAGGCTTTCTGCGTTTGCCCTCCTTCATTCCTTGCTGGGAAGAAAGAGAGTGGTCGGTGGAAGGGTCGGGAATGTGTTTCAGATTCCTAGAGGTGGGCTAGCAATAACTCCTGCAATAATGCAAGGGCTGCCAAGGGGCTCTGCAAACTCGTACCTTGTTGCAGCTGGGCCTCATGTCTTCAATTATCCAAGTCCAGGGCCAAATTCAGGCTGTTCGTTGTGTGCGTCTCCCCAAAGCAGCAGTAGATAGAAGTGGAAAATGACCTTTACCTGGCCAGTGCGGAATTGCTATTGGGAGAACACCTGGGGTTGGATAGTTCTTCTGGTCCCACATATGGCCTGTGTTTTCTGTCTCTGTGGAAGCACAGATGCATTTGCAGCTCATAAAATGAAAGCAGGAAAATTCCCTAAAAAAAAAAAAGTGCTTTTTCTTTGAGATCATGCTAGCCAGTAATTTTGGGTATGTTATTCAAGGTATGGCTGTGCTAAAGGGCAACTGAACTAAGTGGAGATGCTATAGCTTATGTTTTCACTTGATCTAATTTTGAAGGAAACATATTTGTCCTCTGACTTTGGGAGTCTGTGAATGCAGTTGTTCAGCTCTTGCTTCTGTTGATTTTTGGTTCTCTTTTCTTTTTTAATGGGCTCTGCATGCTACCTTAGCAAGATTGTATTGATCTCCGCAACAGAGAGCATGAATTTTGCATTTGCCATCAGTCAGACGCGCAGTGGATGGTGATAATCTGTGTTAGCCTTTGGACTTCCTTTTCAAACGTCGGGGCTTAGCAATCAATGCGCTCACATTGCTTAGAAGCAACGGCTTGGGAGACCAGTTTACTGCTTCCTTTTCTGTCCTTTCTCTGAAGAGCTGCATGTTATAATCTTAGGGGGTCAGGTTCTAATAGCCTGAGATATTCCCTCTTTCCCGTGAAGAGATTCAGTATCTTGCCTGTTTCACAAGAATGTTGTTTTTTTAGGGCTCTGAATCAGCTGCTGTTCTGGCTAATCCCTCTGTTTTGGCCTTTAACCAGGTAAAAGGAGGAAATATCTGCCTGGATTGCACACAGGTGTCAGCTTTGGGGGCTGCAGCTGGGCTCTGGCTGCTCTGCTCTGCTCGTTCCCTTAGAAAGCAGGTAGATTTTGTTAGGGAATGTGTAAAAGCCATTGCTCTTTGGGGCTTTGGGCTTGCACTGGCGTACGGAGCACCCAACAGCCTTGCGGGCCTCACTTCAAGACATAAAGGAAGTCATTTTGATTGTGAAACTTCTGGATCTGCTTCCAGTTAGAGGCATAAAAGAGCTTATACCAGTTTCCCCTTCCTACCCTCATTGCCTTTTTCATCATTTTTAACACAGCTCCATTTTGACCGTGTTTCTGTGATGCCCATTGCCTTGGTGTCGGTCAGAGCAGCTGTTCACAGCGTGGGAAGGGGCTAACTTGTCCTTTGCTTTCTGGTGTTATTTTCCAAGGAGGAGGAGCATGGTTAGCTGGTAAACGATGCATTGGGCAGCCTGATCTGCTGGCAGAACCAGCTCTGCCGAAGGTTCTTGGGTAACCTTGGGCAAATTGCTTCATCTATCTGGGCCCCTTTCTTCGTCTTGTGAAATCCATTCCCCCAGACTCGGTCTGTCTGTAAATCTCTTCATGTCCTTAGATGAGAAGGCTCTTTAGTAAAAGCTCCTGGGGATAAAGCAAGGACTCAAAAAGCTGCTGGAATATTTACTGCACTTGGATCTTTGGGGAATAGGTGCAAAATGCAGGCAGGAGGGTATAGGAATAGTTCTGGCAGGGAAACATTTTACACAGACTTTGCGGAAGGGATGTGCAGTTCAACACGTGGGTTCTTCACTTGCTTTTCAGGTAGAAAATAGTCTTAGCACTTGCACACAAAGCTGGTTGATGTTTCCCAGAATAACTTGATTTTTCAGTCATTTTTGCCTTGCATGCACATGGTACCTTGTTTTATCCTGAAAGAGCATGTTTGTTTTTATACCCTCCTTTCCCAACCAACTTGAAAAATAAAACCTTTAAATATCTCAGCTTTGCTCTTGAGCTTCTGTGCAGGGATTTGGGGATGCTGGCAAAAAATTCCCTAATATAAGGACCTGGTTTGGCCTGGGCTACTGTAAGCAGTAGCTTTTGAGGAAATGCTGCTTTTTAGGTCATCTGCCAGTCTGCATTTATGAGCATTTTTTAAATGCTGGTGGTAGCTGTGGCAGGCGGGAATTTGCTTCTTGGGAAAGCTTGGGCAGGTGTTTTGTTGAGCTTTGCTTTTGAATAAAGCGGCGAGTTACCTTAGAAATGTTACGGCTCGTAACTGGCCTGGGTTTCCTGGGCAAACATCGTATTAAATCAGCGTGATGAGTCCTGTAGCTCTCTGTGTGCCAATTTTACCTTCAGGGAATCGCTGTCCTTTTTAATGATTCATTAGTTTGAACAATGAACGTGCAACGAGTGCAGCTGCTCTTGTTGGATCGGCGTGGGGGAGGACGAGGAGGCCCGGGCTTAAATTGCACTGGGGGCTAGGGAGAAGCTGGGTGCTCGGGAAGGGGCTGTGCTGGAGAGAAGGAAGCTGCCGTCCCGGATCCAACTGCTCCCGTTTGGCAGGGGCCACGTGGAGCAGCTCCAAGCCAGGAGCAGCCCAGGATTAAAAAGAGCAGTAAAAGGACAGTAGTAAAGAGAGGAAGGCCCGTTCGGTGCTAGCAGGGTGTTCCTTCAGGGTGACACCTTCGAAACGCTTTGTTTTATAGGGGAGCAGCTGAGTGGGGCTGTTGGAGGATCCAGTCGAAGCAGCCGGTGTCCCAGGGGCCGTGCTGCTTGTGGGGCTCCTGTGGACTGGAGGGATCTGCCCCGTAGCAGAGCTGCAGTGCCCCGGGGCTGGGGCGAGGGGCACGTCCTGCTCAAATGCTGCCCCCGAGGGTCCTGCCCAGCTCCCCTGCTCTACACTGCTGTCTGAGCTCCTCCTCGCGAGGCCTCCGCGCCCGTCCTCGTGCCCACCCGCTGCCTCTCGGATGTTTCACCTTCTCTGAACCACGGGCTTGGGTTTTGTTTTATCTTTTAAATTTTCTTTGAAAGATTAAAGGGGTTTTTTTCCTTTTTTTCTTTTTTTGATTTAATGAATGTGTTTCCCCGTTGTTTCCTTCCCGCATGTCCGTGTCGTACCCGCTGTAGGCATGACGGCTATGCTGATGTCAGCCGCTGGACTCCCCGTGCACCTCACCCGTGTGCCGCAAGCTGCCAGCACCCATAAAGCCTCTAAAAAACACAGCTCAGTTAAGGAGGGGAGGAAAGTGTCCAAGAAAGGTAGTTCCTGCTCAAACTGGTATTTGCTTCCATCTTCTCTTTATCTCTCTGCACTTGTTCTGCCTCCCTCCTTTCCTCCTGTTTCTCCCCCAACCCTTTTGGCTCTTCTGGTTTGACTGATGGTCATCCCATAATGGGGACGTTTCTCTGGTCTGCGTGGTCTCTGACCGGCTGAGAAATAAGATGATAAAATAGACCCTGCGCTACAAGTTCTGCTCGTGTCCATCAGTCTTTAAGGCTGGAGCAGCCCAGCAGTTCTCTGTGCAGGTCAGAGGCCTCTGCAGTCTCCCCCATGGTCCCTCTACACCCTTTGGGGGAGCCCTGGAGATCTGTGTGCCAGGACCTTCCCTAATTCTTTCTTTGGGAAGTCTGGGAGCTGAGAGACCTTGGTGGAAAGTATTCATCCGTGTATTCATCCAAGAGGAGTGCTCATGAGCCATGCTTGTCCTAACCGTGGGAGCCGTGGGATAAGGAGGATCTTTTGGACGAGCAGATTTCTGAGTTATTCAGGAATTTCACGGTCAAGTTATATTGCGGTTTATTTCTCTGATCTGTGTAGAGCACAAGGCCGCTGAGCAGAGGCCTCGCTGGTCATGGAGGGCCGGGAAGGGCCCTGCTCCCTCGGCCTGGGCGCCGGGAAGGGCCCTGCTCCCTCAGCCTGGGCACCGGGAAGGGCCCTGCTCCCTCAGCCTGGGCAACTGGGGCTGTTGATTCTGGCAGGGTGTATGTGAATGTGCCTGGTGACGCTGTACGTGTCGCCTGTCAGCCCGGGCACGGGGGGCCAGCCGTGGCTGACGTCTGCCACCAAAGCTGGGACGCTTCTCCTGCGGTTAAGAGGAGGAAGAGGCCGTTGGCTTCAGGTCCCTGCGCAAGGGAGGCGTTCAGCACGGAGGTAGCCGTGTGAGGAGAAACAGGGAGGAGGCAGCTGCTGTTTTGGGGGAGAATGTCGCAGAATCCCTCCCCTTGGAGGCTGTGCTTGCAGTGAGGAGCCGTGTGGGTCAGGGCTTGGCAGTGGGGTGGGCTCAGAACTTGCGTGAAGGGGGTTTGCAGGAAAACAGACAGTAAGTATGCAGGGAGGTGGCTCAGGGAATGGTCTGCGGAAGGAATTGCGGGGAGGAGATGACGGCAAGAACGGGAGCGAGTGCTCAAGTGTGCAGTAGGATGTGAGAGGGGAGGAGGAGCAGAGCAGGGGCGGCAGGAGAAGCAGCCGAGAGCAGGAGGAGCAAAGGAAAACACGAGGGGAAGGCGACAACCCGCGTGGGCGGCAGAGGGGCCGGAGGAGGAGCTGGGGCAGAGCCGCTGGCGAGCGGCACCTCCAGCCTGCGCCTCGGCTTAGCTCCCTGCGCGCCTCGGCTTAGCTCCCGCCACACAGCAGCACCCATAGGTGCGCGGGGAGAGCTCCTGCTCCAGGGCGGCCCCTGGGGCTGCCCCGGGGTTGGGGCCTGCTGGGGCTGGGACCCTTCCTGCGGCACGCTCCGGCGAAGGGGTACGGGCTCTGGATTCGGCCCTGCCCTGCTGTAGCCAAGGAGGTGTCGCCGCCTCTGCTGGTTCCAGCGCTGAGCCGTGAGCAGGGGCTGCGTTTCGCTGAGATTTGTTAAGATCCACCCACGTACTTTAGATAGTGGGATGGGCAGCCCCGAGGAGCGCTGTGCGTCCCACTCCCCGGGTGAAGAGGGTGCTCGGGATTCCTAGAAACGAGCCCTGTTTGCACAGCTCCTGCCTTAGAGAGGCTGTTCTGCGGCACGGGCAGCGCGCCTGGCTTCTGGCCACGCTGTTTGTCTCCCTGCAGAGCCGCTAGCTGTAAGCAGCAGAGAGGAGCTGTTCTGTGCTCCGTTGTTGTGCCCCATTCCCCTCGCTGCAGTGCCCATCCCGTGGGCAGGTCCCACAGCCCCGCGCGTTTCGAGTAAACGCGGGAATTGAAGGATGAGCGTGCGCAGGCCGGCCCGCTGAGGTGCTCGGGGAGAGCTGCAGGAACCGCAGGAATGGCTGCGTCGCGTTAATGAGCGACGCTCGTTAGCGAGGGCCCGTCACTGGCGCTGCAGGGCGCCCCGGGGCGGCTGCAGGTCTCGGGGCCGCCCTGGGCGCGGAGGAGCCGCTGGGCTCCGCAAGCGGCGACGGCTGCGTCGCGTTTCTGGAGGGAAGGAGGGAGGTTTTCAGCTTCCCTCGCAGGAAGCGGAGGCTGCAGCGACGGAGCTTCCCGGCTTTCCAGGGCCTTCAGGAGGAGCGAAGGGAGGCCGCGTCTCTCGCGGGCTCTAGTTATCCCGTGGCACGGCTGCTCCGACGCGGAGGCTCCTCCTCTCCGGGCGCGTGCGGAGCGCGGCGGCCACAAAGGCGGCGGAAACGGGTGCGCGTGGCCTTTCCTCACCGGATCCCCTTGGATCGCTCCTCATGCATCCGCTCCGGCACGGCTTTGGGTGTGCGCTGGCCGCCTCGCTGCCCGCAGGAAGGGTGGGATGGAGGAGGCCCTCGGAGAACAGGGCAGCTCGCTGTCTGGTGTGGGACCATCGCCATAAAGGAGCCGGGCCGGGGGGTGGATGGGGAAGCCCTGTGTCACAAGCAGACCTGCACAATTGCTAATGGTGAAGAAATGTGTTTCTAATGCTACGCCTCCCCTCACCGTCCTGATGTTGGGCAGCGCTCTTGGGAGTTGAGACCAGTAGACCCAGCCCTATCCCAGACCCAAGTCCAGGAAATGAAGGGAGAGCTCATGGGAGATAGGTGACTGTCATCAACTGGAAGCAGCCTGTGTCTGGCCTACATAGGGGATGGAAAGAAGACTCTGCTGTTATCCATATGGATCGCTTTGGGATGCAGAAGGAGGGATGTTGCTCCTGCAAGCATTTGGTTGCTGAGCAGGGATTCAAAGCGCATCTGTTAAATGTTACCCATGGAAAGCCCTTGCTTCAGCAGACAGTTTATTAACTGCAGGGAGGAAGGGGAAGCATTAAGAAAAATCGTTATCCCTCTCTTTGTAAATGTAAGAATGGTAAACATTCCTTCACATCCCAGATAAATCAATAGCGCAGCATTAGGCTAGCTGGTGATGAACAACATTGGCTGGTTCTGCTAGTGCATTTTCGTTCCAGTATGGAATCCTGAGGACTGTAGGGAATGACCAGGCTTTGATGATCCCAAGGGATCGATAAAACAAAGCAAATCTGGAAGCAAATACTTTGTAGAGTAAATGGTCCAAGAAGGAAGGGATTTGTGCACTAAGCGATGTGTGGGTCGAGCTCTGCTGGGTGCTCTGTGGGCTCAGCCACCCTGAAACCAAGGCCTCAGTGTCAAAAGACTTTATGGGGACTGGACATTCAAGCACTTGCAGCTGGGGAAGGATTTTCTTAAAGTATCTGGGCTCCCTTACTCTTTCTCCAGGCAGCCTTGATGGAACTACATGCGCCAGGGCATTATAGCAGCAAAGTGATAGGAGCAGGGCATTTCTTATCTCCAGGGAGTTTCCTGGGACAGACTGAGGGTTGCATCCTCTTCTTCTGCCCATCTGGTTGCTAATCCCAGGTGGTGAGATGGTGTAAAACCATTTGCTTTCCTCAGAATCCCTGCTGGATTCTGCTGGAATTCAAACTCTGCTGGAAGGTTGTCCTCCCTCTTACCAGCTCTGCCCTGGGGTTTTTGCTGCTTCTTTTTCATCTCGGTTGAAGGAGCATGGCCAGTTCTTGGGCAAGGCATCTCTCTGTTTTTCTGTGTGCTGTAGAGGAAGGAAGGACAAGAGCAGGAGTTCTGCACAGCAGAGGCTGCAAGCAAGGAAAGTCCTGCACTACGTGATCAAGGTGAATTTCTTCAAAGGCACTCAGATTTGATGTGCAGACGGGAAGAGGTGATCTGGACTGTTCTACCAAGCAGCAGGCTGGTGTCTGCGTGCACCATCTGCTGGTGTTCCTCGTCTTCAGCCACTTGATCCGTGCATCTTTCTGGCATTGCCTTCTCCAGCCAGAAGAGGCAAAAATGAAGATCATTTCAAAGAGAGGCACCTGGAGAAAAACACTCGGAAGGAGGAGCAGGCAGCATGGGATCCTCAGGAGCTGGAACATCACGGTGATAGGGTTTTCATGGAAGCAGATGCAGGTAGAATGGATAACATCTAACCTGCTCGCAGAGTGCTCAAAACCTGCAGAGCAGAGGGAGCTGAAGCCCCATCTTCCCCATGGGGGAATGTGCTTGTATGAGTGAAGGACTCCGTGGTTACAGACTGGAGCCCAGCTCCAACTGCCACATGGGCAAGTGCCACCCCAGTGTTTCCCAGTCCCCAGCCTGGAGTGGGGTCACCCCCGAGCACTGGGAGGGCTGCAGGCCCAGTGAGCACTGAGCTGAGACGGTTCAGACATATGCCCTCGGACTCATTCCTGGCTGCAACTTCTTCCCACATTGCCCACGAGCAAGGTCCCAGCAGGGAGATTCCTGGATTTGTTTCTCTCCTGTGGAAAAGACAAGCCAAGGAAGAAGTTTTCCATGTGAGGCTGGCGATAAGGGCTTGAGGCAGCTCCTTGCTCTGCTGAGCTCTTAGCCTGAGAGCCGGAAGGCCGGGCTTTTCCCAGCACTTTGGCTCCTTTTCCCCACCCTTCTTGTGGCAGCTCAAGTGCACTCCCAAGGGACTTTGGCATGCTGTGCGATGGAAAGGATCTGCTGCTAAGTGCCTGTGTTTGGCTGCTTGTTAATGCTTACTTTATTCTGTTGACTTCTTCCAGGCTAAGGGTCTGTGAAGGGCCAGGTGGGTGATCCTCAGAGGCCAACTATGCCTGAAATGTCTGGAGTGGCTCCTCCTGCCCCAGGGAAGGGACCTGAGCCTGCCGCCTCTTTGTCCTTTTAGTGGCAGCGTCACCCGTGACGTGTGACCTATTCTCCCCTTCTGCTTCACCATGTTGGCCTCTACTGTGAAAAATAACTAGCCAAAAAATGGCACATACCCATTCCTCCTGGTGAGAGGAACTGCTCTTTTGGGGTGATGAAGAGCTTTAAGTAGTGCTGGCTCTGGTGTGGCTGCCTCTTCCCGCAGATTGGCTTACTCAGCTGCAGAGACAACTCTTGTGAACCCTCCGTCTTTCCCCAAAGCATCAAAGGTGACTGGGAGGGCTGAGCACATGTGAGGTGCAAGTACCCCAAGCCAAATGGCCAACCCTTGCACATGACGATGCTGCATGAAGAGCCCCGGTGCTCTCCTGCCTGGGATCACAGCTGCTAAAAGCACCTTTCTCTATTAAAGCACAGTTGGTTCATGTCCTGCAGTGCTTAGAAACGTCCAAGCTCATTATTTGGATGTCTGTCACATCCTCCTGAGGCCCGAGGGTGTTGGGCGTTGAGGCTCCTGAGCTGCCCAGCCTTTGTTAGTACTTCCCTTGCTCCCAGAGCAGCTCCAGCAGCTGGAATAAAGAGGTTGGAGAAGGAAGAACTGCGCCTTACCTGAACTGTCTGTCACAACACTGCTTTTCTCCATCTCTCCCAGAAGCAGGTTTGGGGCAGAGCAGGAAGGGCAAGCAAGGAATCCGTGTAGTCAAGTGGCAGGTTTCTGCTTTGCCTCCTGCCATGCGGAGTCCTAATGCTGCATGTGCAAATGTTTCCTCTTGTAGGCTGGTGGAGGAGCCTGGCAGCCTCTGTGATGGGCCTGACAACGGGTAAGGAGCTGCTCTTCTCTCATGCAGGTCTTAGGGAGTAGCCCTGCTTGCAGCAGAAGTTGCTGGGAGTTGAGTCTACATCTAATGTCTTCACCAGCAATGGGCTCAGGATACTGTGTGTTTGCTGCTTGGTCCTTACTCTGGCTCCCATGTTGCTTTAGAGGGCATGGGGCATCTGAGAGATCTGCTGTTGCCTTGCAGAACCTTCATCTCATGTCTGTCTCGGGGGATACCTACCTTCAAGAGGGGCTGTTTCGGGGTGGGACATCGGGCCTGGATGGCTGCACTGGAGTCTGCTTGGGTGAGAGGGGAGCAGGGATTACATTTATGAAGTGCAAGGTTGTCTGGGAGCTGTTCTGCAGACAGGACACCGCTACAAAGCTGGTTTGTTTTCAATTGCTTGTGACTTGTGCTGCATCTTGCTGAACTTGAGTGTGTGAAAAGCTCACAAGAAGAGCTGCTGGTTCTTGTTAAGGATGCAAGCCTGCTTCTGAGGCCTGAAGCTTAGTGTTCTGCTGGGTTTCTATTTGTCAGGTGTCAACGACTGGGTTTGCCCTGAAGTGCAAGGGTCCCGTGTCCCGTGCAGTGTGGGAATGCCGCCTTCAGAAGTTGTAATTGTCTCTTCCCCACTAAGACTGTAACGTCTCTGGGTTGAGTTTGATTGCAGCTGATTTCTCGTGTGTGCAAAGAAAATCAAATCAAGAAAAAAAAATTAAAATTAAAAAAAAAAAATCAAAATCAATGCCATCCCTTGGGGTATGTGGGTGAAAAATTGGAGCCCAGCAACTACAGGTGGGCTCCGGGGGTCCTGCTCAGGGGTAACGATGGACCGTTGTGCAGCAGCTCCTGCCCTCCCAAAGGGAACAGGATGAGCAGGGCCCGGGCGCTGGGCGCTCTGGCCCGTGTCCCTCGCAGGGTCACTGCTGGCAGCAGAGCATTTGCAGGGCTTGTGTAGATCCATTGGAGCAGCTGCTTCAGCAGAGACCTTTCCTCTCCCTCTAAACCTGACCTTTCTCCTTGGCATCCTGGCCGGTTACTTGCTCTTCTCCGCTTCTCTTTAGCATCACCCTCACAGCCCGTCATGTTTCATGGTGTGTCTGATTTCCTTCTGTCTCTTTTTCTCATCTCTCTCCTTGTGCAGCAACACCAACTGAGCCAGAAGCGGTGGTGAGGAGATACCTGGAAGAGCTGAAGGGTGTTCCTGCTGATGAGGTAAGAGGGGCAGGAGGAATGGAGGATGATAAAGCAAGTCTGGCTGGGCCAGAGCTCTTTGTTGTGGTATTGTGAAAATTGTGGTGGTCCCTGAAGACTCTCCTTCCATGGCCATCCTGTAGTAGTAGATCCCACTACTTGTAATGGCCTCCTTGATGCTAGGTGGAGAGACCTCACAGTTGACTGAAACCCACACGTGGTAACTGGGGATGGGGCCTCATTCAGATGCTCTGATGTGCACGCTGTGCTCTCCACATTTGGAGAGATGCCCACATGGGTGCCCTTAAGTGGTGACCCAGGGCCCTCACTTTGGGAGTGCAAGAGTGGGAGTGTGCACTGAAGAAGCAGAGGCTGCCCTGGTTTTAGACTCAAAGGATCTCTCAAGTGAGTGTGATATTGGTCTAGGTAAATACACTTGAACCATCACCTTCCTTCTGGCAAATGGAGCAAGCTGGGACCCAGCTGAGTCAATTGCTTAAGAAGGTGACTAGCTGAGAGCTGGAGTAGCTACTTTGTTGAGGAGCAGGACATAAACATGCTCAGTTCCCTGCTTGTTCCTTCTACCTGGCAGCTCCTGCCCTGTGCTGTCCAGGAGGCAGTGGAGTGGGGTGGTACCAGCCAGGTGAGGAGACCTGTCTCTGCTCTTAAACCTCAGAAGGGAGGATTAAAATTGAAGGCAGATCTTCCTAAAATGCCTCCCTGATTGCTCTCTTGGTGAGTCAGTATGATCAGCTTGGTGTCCTCAGTACATGGTGATTTTGTGCTTGCTGTCTCGGACTCTAGGACTGTATGATCTGCATGGAGAAGCTGGCCTCCCCCTCGGGTTACGGGGACACGTGCGAGTGCAGCACGATCAAGCCGGAGATGGTCGGTCGCCTGACAAACTGCCAGCACTGCTTCCACATGCTCTGCGTGCTGGCCATGTACTGCAACGGAAACAAGGTGCCAGAGCAACCCGTCCCCACGGGCCCAGTGCCTCTCTCGAGGTCTGACACCCGCTTCTCTCCCCTCACAGGACGGGAGTTTACAGTGCCCCTCTTGTAAAACCATCTATGGAGAGAAAACGGGGACTCAGCCCAAAGGAAAGATGGAGGTTTCCACCTTTCCCCAGTCCCTTCCCGGCCACAAGGACTGTGGGACAATCCAGATTGTGTATCACATCAGCAGAGGCATTCAGGTGAGCACAAGGCCCCCTTGTCAGACAGCCTGGCAGCGGGGAGCTGTGTGGGCCTCCCGGAGCAGTACCAGGAACCGTGTTTTGCCTCTGCTTCTCACCAGCCTTTTGCCTACGTTAAAAACTGCCTGTCTGGAGCAGGGAGGAGACCCCACCAGTGCTCACAGGATCAGGGAGATTCTAGCATCTTATTTTACACCCCACAACTAAGTTTTGGGTGGGTGCAGTGACCTGAAAGTCTGGTGGCTGGCAGTCTGTTTTGGGGACATCCTTAGACCATGTAGTACAGCCTCTAAAGAGCTCACATTATTGAAGCCTGAAGCTCCTCATGAAGGGCTTATGATGTTAGCGTGTCCCATAGGAACAAGTCAAGTACCTTGGGCTCATAATCAGCAATACATTGCTCCTTTTGGATGGAAGAGCTGGTCCGAGATGGTCCTATCCTAAATCCTGCTGCTGATTCTAGCTCTTATAACTGAAGAACTGTGCAACCCACACGGAGGTGGAAGTGTCCAAACACACTGTGTCCTTTATCTGTCGCAGGGTCCTGAGCACCCCAACCCTGGGATGCCTTACACAGCAAGAGGCTTTCCTCGCTACTGCTATCTGCCAGACAACGAAAAGGGCAGGAAGGTAAGGCTGCACCCTGGCGACCCGACTGCTCCATGGCACTCGTGTCCCCAGGCATCATGGCAGGCATCTCTTGGCTTTGCAAGATAGAGCTGTTTTATGAAAGCTGCTCCTGTGATGCTAATGAGGCTATTTTTACCAGTTGTCTATGTTGTTACTGCTTAGATGTCTTTATAACCTTTCTGGCTCTGAAAGTTTTGTTGTTTTTCTTCACAATTCTGCTTCATCCCTTTGCTAAACAAAAGCCTGCCTTGTTTTTTTGACCAAACACTCCTGGCTCGTTTTGAGCTGTGCTATTACAGGAGTTTCTCTTAGAACCACTGAACTTGGCGAGGGGGGAAAAAATATATCTGCACCCTATTCCCATCCCCATTTCCTGTGGGTGAATGTGTTTGTCTCAACTTGTGCCAGTATTTTGCTCGTCCTTGCAAGACTGGCTTGTGGGGAAGATTAATTGATCTTCCCATCAGGGGCACCACACAGAAAAACAGGAGATGAAGGAGTTCCTTCTAATGCTGGTATCTTTCGTTTCTTGCTGCAACTGCAAGGGAGTAGTTATTAAGCTTCTGGCAAGCAACTGCATCCATATCTCACCTGGATATTTCCCTGGAAAAGGGCCATGGAGTTGTCTATTTCCACAGCCAGGCAAGAAGGGGCTGCTCATCTGTCCATGACTCAAATCTAGCTGCAGGAGACCAGCTTTGATTTTCCCTTCCTCCATCTCCAGGTCCTGGAGCTCCTAAAGGTGGCCTGGAGGAGACGCTTGATTTTCACAGTGGGCACCTCCAGCACCACAGGCGAGAGCAACACAGTAGTGTGGAACGAGATCCACCACAAGACCGAGATGGACACGAACCTGAGTGGCCACGGCTACCCCGACCCCAACTACCTGGACAATGTGCTGGCAGAGCTGGCCGCGCAGGGCGTCACCGAGGACTGCCTGAGACCGTGAGCCGCGTGGGGCCGCCGGGCCGTGCACCTCCCCAGGGCCCCTGCTTTGGAGGCCCCTCTTGTGCACTTATTCCTGTTGCCTTAAGTTCCTGCGTGCGAGCGCCTGTCACGCTGAGCAATAACACTGACGTGGGAGCTCTGTACAGTCTCTTTTTCTGGAGGGAAGGCTCCTTTCGTAGAACGTGGACTCGTGTCCCCAGGTAGGGCCGGCGGCCACAGCCAGGACAGGCTGGGAGAGTTGCTGTGAGGTGACAGATCCCCCTTGTGAAGGCAGGACCCTCACCCTGGTAATGTCGGGGACAGGAGTGGGGAGAGAAGGGAAGGTCTCGCTCCTGCTAGGGCATTTGAAAGGCAGGTGAAGGCCTCCCTTCTGCATCATGTCGCAGCGCTCGGTCTCCGAGCTGGCTCTTACAGTGAAGCCTCCTCCCTCCTGCCCCTGTAGCTGTTACTTCTCTCTCTGCTTGGTCGTAATAAACACTGCATTGTCATGGAGAATCTGCTTTGCCTTCAAACTGCCTGATGGCTTTAGGGTGTCTCCCGTCCTGCGCCCTCGTTGAGGGAGCAGCCTGCTCGGCCGAGCTGGGGCCCCTGCAGCCAGCCAGGAGAAAGGAGGGAAAGCTCAGCTCTGCTTGAGGAACAGGGGACTCTTATTTGGGACCAGTCCCCCTCCCTGGGCTCTTGGGCCACGGGCTGTCCATGTTTTCAGCCACTTTTCTCGGGGCTCTCCTGGGGCTCTCCCACTGGGGCTGGGCAGTGAGTCAGAAAGCAAAGGCGCGGTTGCTCCGTCGCCTCCCGCGGTTGCTCCGTCGCCTCCCGCGGTTGCTCCGTCGCCTCCCGCGGTTGCCCATCTCAGCAGCACTTGGGGCAGGGCCCCTGCCCGGCCTTGGCTCTGCCCTGACCCTTCTCAGCTGCCCCTTGGCTCGGTGGAGGTTGGGGCCCAGGGTCAGGAGCTGGCACTACCTCTGGGCAGCCACAACCTCTGCCCCTGCTGTGAACCACGGCTCCTATCGCTGCTCCCATCGCCCTGAACTGCTTGTGGTGAGGCCTGCTCCTAAAATACAGCTCGTTTTCCCCCATATCGTAAGTGCACGGAGGGTTTTGGGCACCTCATGCGGCGGCTGCTGGCAGGGCTGCGCGTGGCGCCGCGGCGCTGGTGCCACCAGGCGGTGACAGGGCCCTTTGCTGCACTTTGCAGCGCCGCGGCGCGTGGCGGCGAGCAGAGCGGGAGGCTGCTCGGCAGGAGCACCGTCCTGCACAGCCCCGAGGCCCAGGGGAAGGGGGATCGCTCTGTTCCCGCTCCCCTGGGGGCCGGGGGCTTTGCAGGACTCCTCCCGGTCCCCGCGTCCCCTGCAGGCCACAGAATCACAGAATATTCAAGGTGGGAAGGGACCTCTACAGATCATCTAGTCCAACCTTCCTGCTCAAGCAGGCACACCTACAGCATGTGGCACAGGGTGGCATCCAGGCGGGTTTTGAAGACCTCCAGAGTAGGAGACTCCACAACCTCCCTGGGCAGCCTGTTCCACTGCTCTGTCACCCTAACAGTAAAGAAGTTGCTCCTCACCTGGAGACGGAACTTCTTGTGCTTCAGCTTGTGGCCATTACCCCTCGTCCTATCGCTGGCCACCAGTGAGAACAGCCTGTCCCCTTCCTCCCTGCATTCTCCCTTCCTGAACTTATACATATTAATCATATCCCCTCTGAGCCGTCTCTTCTCCAGAGAAAACAGGCCCAGCTCACTCAGCCTCTCCTCCTACAAGAGATGTTCCATTCCCTTCATCATCCTGGTTCTTCTCTGGACCCTCTCGAGAAGCTCCACATCCCTCTTATACTGGGGAGCCCAGAAGTGCCCACAGTGCTCCAGGTGCAGCCTCACCAGAGCTGAGGTCCCCGCAGCTCTGCCCACAGCTTCCTTGGCACAACCGCGTCCCCGGTGCCTTCCCCAGCCACTCTGAGACACAGCCTTGGGTCGGGGCTGCCAGCCTGGAGGCCGTGCCGGACTGTACCCTGTGCCACCAACGCGAGGGGCAGATTCTGCCTTCGGGCACCAGTGAAATAAGAAGGGTTTTATTTTTCAGAGCTACCGCAAGCGGGGGACAGTTTTCCCCTTGCTCTTGCTGCCTCCTCCTGCTGCCACCTCTCCAGCCTAACCGCGGGGCGGGCGGGAGAGAGAAACCCGCAGCCACGCAGCCGCGCGCGGAGCTGCCGCGCCGAGGGGAGCTCGGGGCGCAGCCGGGGCGCGGGGTTTGCACACGCCGCCGTCTGCTCGGCTCCCACCCTGCTTGCGCAACAGAGCCCTGTCTGGCTTAAGCCTCGGCTTTCGGCACCCAGATCACGTTTCCCCAGCAAACAAAACACGGGATTGAAGAGCAAATTGGGCAGGGTTCACCTGGCCTCGTGCTGAGCGAGACTTCCCGGGCCCGGTGCTTTTTGGTGCGTGAATCACGGGGAGCCTCCCTGTGCCGGGAGCTCGTCACGAGCGGCAGGGCCGGGCCCTGGGAGCCAGGGTGCCCCTGTGGCAGTGGGTGCTGCAGGGAGGAGCCGCCGGGGCCACCTCCCCTCGCCTGGGGCTGGGGGGGGACGCAGGGCGCTGGCACGAGCGCAATGCTGCCGTGCTGCTCGTGCTGCTCGGAGCCCGAGGGAAGGGAGGGCTGAGCGAGCGCTCGCGATGCCGCCGGACGGGTCTGCAGCCTGCGTCATCCTGCCGACCCCCTCCGTCCTGGCTGCTTCCCGCAGCTCTCCCTGGCTCCCGCTTGCCCAAGGGCCATGCAGGGCCACCAGGTGCTGCAGCCGGAGGGAGGCTGGAGCAGGCAGGGCAGGCGCCGGGAGCCTCGTGGTGCCCGTGCGGGCAGGGTGCTGGGGGTACTGGAGTGTTGGGGGTGTGAGGGTGCTGGGGTACAGGTTGCTGGGGTGTTGGGGGTGTGAGGGTGCTGGGGGCGCCCGCCCTGGCTGCTCGGGGACAGGCCAGAGCTGCGTCCCCGTCGCCGGGCGCTCCCTGGGCAGCGCCAGCTCCCAGCCCCATGGGCACCTGGAGTGCTCGGCGGCCTCCTGCGCTATCCAGGCACAGGCTTCACGTCACAGGAGCTGCTTCCCGCTGTGGAGCTGCCACCCATTCCGTCCCAGCGATTCTGCAGGGAGACGGGTGGTTATTGGGTGCAGCCACCTGCGCCCCGCGTTGGTGGGAGATCAGCACTGGGGTGACGATGGCAGGGAGAGGACGGGCTGCCCCCAAGCAGTGCGAGGGGCCGATGCCTGCGGGAGGAACGGGCTCGAAGCTGCCCATGGAGAAAGGCTGTGGTCTCGGCGGGTCCGTCCCTGCCAGGGCTGCTGCCCTGCACGACCAAGGGGACGCGGCGGGGACACAGGAGATGCGGTTGGCAGTGCCAGCTGCCCACAGAGCATTTCCTGCAGTGCTGAGTTGCTTGGAGCAAGCGGGGTTGTTGGGAGCTGAGCCCGGAGCCCCCAGCTCTGCTGGCCCTGGTAGCTGGTGGTGGTGGCTGATGCGGCGGGTGCCCCCGGTGCTGCCGTCCTGCATCACCCACCCCGTGCTGTACCCGCCGGGCACACGTGGCAGGGCCTCGGAGCGGGGCCCGCGCTGGCCCCTCATCACTTGCCCCGCACCCAGGCTCCCCAGTTCGCCACGAACTCCCCGTTGACCTCGTGGTGCCGCCGAGCGGCCTGTGGGCGCCGGGCTGGCGGGACAGGGGACCGCGGGGCCCCAGGGCGGCCTGGCCGCAGGGTCCCGCGGGGCCGGCGCGGGCGGCACAGGAATGCGGCGCTGGGAGGGCCCAGCTCGCAGGGGCTCTCGGGCCGCTCGCCGGGCCCCGGGCAGTGGGACGGCGCCGGTGGAGCCCTCGGCACGTCCCGCTCCGCAGCGCCGGCCATGGAGCTGCCGCGGCTGCTGCTGCTGCTGGCGCTGGGCACGGGCCGCGCCGTGGGCCTGGGGGAACGTGCCGGGGGTGCCGCGGGCTCGGGGGGCAGCCCCCCGCCGCCCCCCACTGCAACCCAACTGCCCTACGTGCCCCGCGCGCCCCCGCAGCCGCTGGCGGGCAGGGTGACGGCCACCACCTTCGCCCTGGACAAGCCCTTCTGCGTCTTCGACGGGCACGTCCGCGCCAGCGACAGCGTCTGGCTGGCCGTCACCTTCGCCAACGGTGAGTGCTGGCCCGGGCAGGCGGCCGCCGCGCCGCCGTCCTCGGCACCGGCCTCTGCCCCTGCAGCCACGGCCGCCTTCAGGAACCCGCCGTCGGCCGCCGCCATCCCGCCGTACGGGCGGCTCCGCGCCGCGCTCGCCTACATGACGCTGGAGGCGCCGGCGGGCGCCTACGCGTGTCCCGCGCGGAGCCCCGGCGTCCTGCGCGTGGGCAGCGACACGACGTGCGGCGCCCAGCGCGGCCCGGCCGCCTGCAACGGGCCCCTGCCCTCGCCGGGGCCCTACAGGTGGGACCCGCTCCCCATGCCGCCCCTCCATCCCCGTCCCCTCCGGCGTCACCGTGCGGCCCTTTCCCCCAGGGTGAAGTTCCTGGTGCTGGGGCCCCGCGGCCCCGTGGCCGAGACGCAGTGGTCGGAGCCCGTGGGCCTGCGGCAGGGTAGGTGGCGGCAGCGGCGCGGGCTGCGCTCGGC